AAACGAATTGTAGCAACTAAATATGCGAATAAATTTAGAGTTAGTGAGTATATATATCTAAAGGCTAATCTAGTACCTACCATGTTATTGATATTATGTGTATATATTATTAAATAAGAAGGAAATCATCAATTCATACCATACTAAGTAAAACTTTGAGTACAAAAGTGATAATAAGGAGAGTGTAACAGAATTTTTAGAATTAAACTTAAAATTTAAGTGTTTACATCCATATTTTTATAACTTAAGCATTTAGGTCGTGTGCGAGTTAGGCTAAGTTGCGTTCTAAATGAGGGAAATTCTAAGTTGTGTCGATAATGTATTGAATGGTCGATACGGGTGATTGATAAATGGCAAAATGTGTGCAGTGCAAAAAATCCCAAAAAATCTCCCATTTGGTTTAGCATCAACTTAGCCTAACTCGCACACGTCCTAATAAGACTTTCACGAACTATCAAACAAAAATGAAAGCAAAAAAACTGTTTTTTTTTGGTATGAACTGAATTAATAAATATATACAATAAAAAGAGTACATTTTTAAATTTGTATTCTTTTTGCTTATCAAAATTTGATTTTTAAAGGCAGCGTTTATTTAATCAACAGGCTTTGCATAGGTTTTGTGTGGATTTTGTATGACAAATTTCACTAAACCCAAGCACATATCGAGATTAACCAGAAAATAAGCTAAATACGATAATCCAAACATAATATAACAAATCTAGATCAAATGAAATTAATATAAATAGACTAATTAAAAATCAAATGTCTTATAGGATAAGTGTTTTACTAAAAATCTTTGTTATTTCATAAGAATTTTTTTATATTTCAAAATTATGTTTTATTTACGAGTCTAAAACAAAACAACTAATTAAATATATCAACGCGCACTCAATTAAAAACAAATAATATACCATAAAATTCTAGAAATCATTGCATGCTGGGTGAGACACAATAAAAAAGATTAAAAATTAACATATGTGATGTGATGTTTACTTGCGTGCGACGTCATAAACAAGTTTACTTCGTCTTGAGATTTGTTATTTTTGAAACGAGCCTAAGTAACTTCATTGTCTGGCTTTGAGAGAATGTTCAGTCTGTAAATAACTTTAGATCTTTGCAGTTAAGTTAACTATTGATCGCTTCGACATGGACTTATTTATATTCAGATCGTTTATATTTATTTATGTTGCATTTTCCATATTTAATGCATGTGCGGCCTACGATGTTCCGAAGGCGAGAGTAATTGTTTTTGAACGTAAAGGTTTCGAAGTGTCTATACCAGATGAAGAAGGTATTTCATTGTTTGCATTTCATGGCAAACTAAATGAAGAAATGGATGGACTAGAAGCTGGTACTTGGGCTAGAGATATTGTTAAAGCGAAAAATGGACGTTGGACATTTACTGATCGTGTAACGGAGTTAAAAATAGGTGATACACTTTACTATTGGACATATGTTATATACAACGGTTTAGGATACAGAGAAGACGATGGAGTATATGTAGTCACTGGCTTCAACACTACTCAAACGTCACCAATTACAACAACTTCGAAACCTCCAGTAATCACAACTAAAACCACAACAACTGTTACTTCAACTTCAGCCAATTGTAAGCAATCTCAAACTAAGATAAATGGTAATCAAGTTGTAGAGTGTGCGGATCAATTATTGTTTGAAGACGAGTTCAATAACTTAAATACAGATAAATGGAAATTAGAGAATCGTTTTGCCTCAAGTCCTGACTATGAATTTGTGATGTACGTTAATGATGTACCAGAAATATTTCAACTTGAGAATAGTGTAATGCATATCAAACCCAAAGCTACAGCGAAACTCGTTCAACAGGAAAATCCATTGAAATTTAACTTAAATTTTGGTGAACGTTGCACGGGTTTGCTCAATTCAGAGGAATGCGTAAAAGAAGCTAAACAGTCACCTTTAGTGTTCATACCACCTTACGTGTCCGCACAATTATCTACGATGAATTCATTTTCTTTTAAATATGGACGTGTGGAAATACGCGCCAAGTTACCACAAGCAGAATGGGTTATTCCGGAGTTGTGGTTACAGCCTGTCACATATGCATATGGTGCAACAAATTATCAGTCAGGACAGGTACGCATTGCATTTAGTCGTACAAATGGCACTTTAACTGATTTATATGGTGGCGTTATCTTAAATTCTGAAGAACAGTGGCGCTATAAAAAGTTGTGCCATTTACCTGCAACAACTGATAAGAACTGGTGCGATGAATATCATGTCTTCACATTAATTTGGACTGAGATGTATTTGGCATTCGCGGTGGATAACGAAGAATATTGTCGCATTCATACCTTACGTGACTTAAATACCTTGCCGAATCATGGACAATTAAGTACTGGCACTAAATTGGCACCTTTTGATCAGGAATTTATATTGACTCTAGGTTATGGTGTTGGTGGTCACGGAGATTTTTCGGATGACGAAAAATGGATAACGCCAAAACCATGGGAAAATACCGATCCACGCGCCATACCAAATTTTGTGGATTACTTAAATCACAAACATGGAGATTGGCTAGAAAATGGGCGTTTAAGTATTGACAGCGTTAAGATTTATTCAGTTTGAAGATATTTTCGTGAAATTCCAATCCATTCATATTACAATTACTGCATTTATATAAACTATAAATAATACTTTAAGTATCGTAGTTATTCTGGTTTGAGTATTTAATTATTTCTTAGTATATAGCATATATATAGTATAGTATTTTGTGTTA